TACTTGCATTCACCTTATGCGTCCCCTCTTTGAACAAGAAAATCTCACAAGTCGTAGGGAATCTTTCCTTCCAAGTGAAGTTTCTCTCAGACTTTCTGGATAAGTATTCAAATTCCGCCTCAAAATTCTCCTCTTGCCATGAAACTAATAAAATTTTGGTTGCGAGAAAATGACATGGATAGTAGTACCTTTCTCTTGGGAATTTTTGGTTTTCCGTGGTGCAAACAAAGAAAGACCTGTGCTTTTTTGATAATCGAATTTGCAATGAGCGGAAATGAATTACCTAAGAGGATTATCTATTAGGATGATTCACAGTTTATGCAACTTTTCTTCAACTTTGAGTTGAAATTACTTCTTTTTGAAACGATCTTGCTGAGCGCAGTAAAGATCACAGTAAAGAGAAAACCATTTACTACGCAGCCTACGATTTGTAGATTTGCAAGCATGGAAATTGCCAGCAAATTCCTCTGGAAATCTCTAGAGAGGAGCCATAACTTATGTACTGGAATAATGCTCATACTGCTTGTCGTGTATCATGTTCGGCTATGCAGCAGTGCCAAAATCAGATTTTAGGAAGTTTTTAAGGGAAAAAATTGCAGAAAGTTCGAAAGCTTTCGGGCGTCTCAGGCAAGAAGATTGAATAAACCCTACCGCTTTCTTACAACTAAATTTAACGGGTTCAATCTTGCTGTATATTGCGGAAAGATTACAATCGCTTTTTCTTACTATTTTTGCAAAGTACGAAAGGCTTAAGCGACCACTCAAGTTTGCAAAAGAATTTCTCAATCCAAATTTTTTCAAAAGTTTCAATTAAGAAAATATTCGTAGCGCAAGGCTTCGCAATCGTTATGCACATTTTTTAAAACAATTTCGAAGATTATTCGTGAATTTAGGGCAAGGAGAAAAAAAAGAATTTTAGATTTATTCGAAGCTTTAGAATAACAAACATTTGCGAAAGCAAACGCATTCTTGAGAAACTAGAAGAAATGCTCTTTCAAATAATATAGAAAGTTTTTGATATAGTTCGTCTCGCTTCAAAACCAGCCTTTGAAAGAAGAGGTACGAAAAAGTTGCATTGATTATGAATCAAGCTAATATAGTATAACTTTGCATTAACTCGAAATAAAACAGTGTAAAATGCAGAGGGAAAGGGGTGTTGATAAACTCCAACAGAACATGTACTGCTTTCCTCGCTTTATCGGAACTACATCCGTCTATTCAAGCTGAGACCATCGCTTCGCTTGCAAATGGTACATTGGATAACAGTTGCAAGAAGAGAACTACGCTTGCACCCACAACTACTACTGCACCAAAGAGGAGAAAATCAGGAGGTAGGTTTGAAGGCTATTTACGCACTAGAATTATTTTGGGCTATGACTGAAATTTTATAGACCGCTAAAATAGAAATGCAATACTTCCAGAATTTAAAGCTTTACTCGCTTAATTGCTTAATTTGCAAGAATTTCGTGAACATTGACGCAAAAGACTTTTTTCTATGGATGACGACAAATTTATTCTTCATTTTATTTTGAACCCTAAAGCTATCCCTAATGGCATCGGCGCATAAACGGCTATATAAGGATATGAAAACATTCAGCCTTGACGAGAATCTTCGAGCTAGCCGAGCCAAGAAACGGTCCTTTCCTGTCACAAATTGACTGTTTACTGCGGGGAAAAACCTCAGTGCCAGTTTGTCCAAATATTAAGAACTATGTATTTGTTTCCATGTAAATCTGAGTTCTGTCAATATTGTACATATGAAATTCGCGTTTTAGCAAGCTCCGATGAATGCTTTCTGGAGTTCACCGACTTCGTCTTAGAAGGAACAGCCCTTGCCATTGAGACCGCGATCACTGTACAGGAGTGCAAATGCCTTTGTCTCAAAGGAGAAGCCAAGTAAGTGGAATGTGACATTATAATAATGTTTTCTTTGATTCAAATTTCCAGATATGGAGAAGCATGCCAATCATTTGAATACTATTATGACAGTAATACATGTCTGGTCAATAAGCAGAATAGGTAAGCATCGTGTGATCAGTTGACCGAGCACGAAATGCTCCACCACGCAGTTCAATCAAATGTAAACGAAAGTCTTTGTCTTGACGTTTCCTTTTCAGGTTCTCCACTCCAGAACATTTCAACTTCGTACCGAGCTCACAACCTCGCAGCTACTTTGAGCACAAATGCGCCACACGAGGTTGTTTGGACGCTTTTTTTAATAAGAACTTTCAAGACACAGCCTCAATTTTTGACTTTTTCCGAAGTTTTTCTG